TTTTTTTTTCTTTTTTTGCCCGTTAACCTCGTTCAGTAGGGCTCAATTTCGCTTCATCGTTTTTCTTTTTGACTTTTTTTGCACAGATTATTATTACTTTTATATTACAAACTCTATTTGACTGTTGGTTCGAATGCGCCATCAGCTTGTTTGTTGGTGCGCTTTTGGTCTTTTGACTTATACCTGACGAGAAGTGAATTTTTGTAATTGAACGTGTGTGTACGTGTGTTGAATACTGGTAGCAGTAGTCACTATCACTTCCTTTGCTTTTTTATGTTCATTCTGTATCCTTCCTTTTAGAACATGATAGCCGAGATCAGCTCAGCTTCGGGTTTGTCACTTTGCATCATCCGGCACCAGTTCGTGGATTGGAATGGAGACGAGCAGGCGGAAACGTGCAAAAGTATCCATACTTCCTGTTCACAAGATATCTTTACACACTTACTTAGGGGTTTTTTGACTGCTGTGCTGATGACTTGGTGTGAAGACAACACATCTCGGATTTGGAAAGAAACGCCAGCGCCTGAGTTGGCTATGATTGACTTGAGTGGAGATGGAGGTAGCTCGCTTGATAAATTCTCGTGTTTCATGTTTTGTTCAAAACTTTAAAGCCTTCTTCTTATATCACAGTGCATAGGTGAGCCATCCTGGGAAAAGAATAGGCCGCGGAAATTTTTCGGCAAACATTTTCGTGTCAAGAAGACGAGAAACAAGATCGTCAATAAGCTCAAAGGGATTGTGTAAGGATCTTGGCTGCAGTTCCTATGATTTGAATGTGTCATTATATTATTCAGACCGGAGAAAAAACGGAGAGGTGAAGAGCCTCCTCATCCTCTGGGGCTGCGAGCGCAGATTGGAAAGAGTCCTTCATTTAGTGACTTACAATTTGGGCATCATTCGTACACCAACAAGCAGTTTCACTTGGCTGCTACCATCAATGCAGAAACAGGTACATCTTGTCAGTATCAGTACTGTAAGTCGTTACACGACGAGCCTGGGACTGCTATCGAACTTCACTTTGCTACACTATTTACAGATTGTATGCTTGTTCCTTCAATGGAAAATGGTGGAGTACTGCAGAAGCCCTTATGTGTTCACTGGCTGAACAACAAGGACCTCGTTTTCAGCATTGGAGCGGACAAATTGCTAGCCGAGTCCTTCCTCTCAGACAGTGATTCGAATAGGAGTCTGTTGCGAGCTTCTAGCACAGTAGGAGCGATTTTGTTGAATTTACGATGATTATTTAAGGATCGGCAAATGTGAGTCCTAGCGAAAATACTGAGAGCGAGTATAGTCCGTCATCACCCAATTCGCGCTCTGAAAAAGCCGAATGGACAAACAATAATCTCGGCAGCGTTTGTTCGGTGAATTTCAGATTCTTTTTGCTATCG